TACAGACAAATGGAGTATGCCCTGAGGATCAGAGGCCTCAAGGAAGATGTGAATCAAGATCTGGTGGAGGTGGTCCTTACTGATCTGGCGCTGGCCTTGGATATGGATAAAGGAGAATTACAGAGAGAAGTGGAAAAAATTTATAGGCTCAACTCTTGGATTGCTAAGCAGAAGAACTTGCCTAGAGATGTGGTGATTTATTTTACAAAGAAGTCCCTGCGGAATGAGATTATACAAGCTTTTTACAATAAAAGATTTCAGATTGCTGCCCAAGATGTCATCATTTTAAAGGAAATCCCATCCAAAATTTTAAGAAGCAGGAAAGACTTTGCTTTTTTAACCAATGAGCTTAAAGCTAGATCGATGCCATTTAGATGGGAAATTCCGATGGGTATTGTTTTGAGCCATGCTGGGACACGCTACAGATTGAACACAGTTGACAAAGCTAGAGACTTTTATACTTCGGTCCTGGGTGCAGGCTCAACCTCATCTGGTCGGAAATCTCTGAGTGGCAAGGAAGTTGAGCAGCAATCTGAGGCATTAGATTTGGTTTCCGCTGGGATGATAGAAGCTGTAAAGCAACGCCAGACGGAGGTTAAAGAGCAGAGGATGACCCGTGCAGCCTATAAGCGTAAAGAGAAGGAGCAACGTAAAAAAGAGCCTAAAGAGAGTTCTCCTGGAAGTGCATCACCGCCGGTGGGAGGAGCAAGACCCAAGAGTTATGCAACACACGCAGCTCTTTCAGAGTTTGATGGTGTCTTCTCCAGGCTGCGTGCCAAGGGAGATGGCAAAGTTTTTGACCTGGAATGTTAATGGATTGAATTCTCCTCAGAAACGCAAAAAAATCTTTTATTATTTGAAGCAACATACTAATGATGTTATTTGCTTACAGGAAACTCATATTTTACTTAAAGATCAGAAATATTTAGTTAATGCTCGTTTGGGATCTCATTTTATATCTTCTGCTCCTGGGAAGAAAGGGGGAGTTGTTATATATGTTAAACAAAACCTACCAGCCTGTCTGGTAGAATCAGATCCCCAGGGGAGATATGTGATGATTGAACTTGGTATTTATGGTAAGAAAATACTTATAGTTGGACTTTACGCTCCAAATCAACAACAGGAACAATTTTATAAGCAGTTACATCAAAAAATAACATTGTTTGATTATAGATCAGTGGTATTAATGGGTGATTGGAATGGTGTCTTAGATACACAAAGGGACAAGAAAGGTTCCTCTCCTTTTCTCAAACAAGCAAGGCTACCTAAAGCCTTTTTTGATATGAAAGAAGACTGGGAATTAAGGGATTATTGGCGGGAACGTAACCAAGAGGAGAGAGACTTTACTTTTTTTTCTGATAGACACCAATCTTTTTCAAGAATTGACTTTTTCTTGATTACCACGGACTTGTATAATAAAGTAAAGAATGTAAAGATTTTTCCTAGATCACTGACGGATCATAGTCCAGTTTGGATGGAGCTGATTCAAGAGAAAGAGGAAAGAAGATCCTGGAGAGTTAATGAAAATTTGTTTAGACAAGAGAAGAATGTTCAAAAATTAAAGGAGTGTTTAAAGGACTATTTTGCTTTGAATATGTACAAGGGGACTTCAATGTCAATGGTATGGGATGCAGGTAAAGCATTTATGCGCGGTGTTTTGATAAAAATGAATAATTTTTATAAGCGAAATCAGATTCAGAAACGTAGAGAACTTGAGGATGAAATTAAATTAAAAGAAAGGGCTTTGATTCTAAATCCTTCTGATGAAAGTACTAAAGAATCTGTAAAGTTATTAAGGTCACAATTTAATATGTTGATAGCAGATCAAGCTGCAACCAACTTATTATTTATGAAACAAAATACATTTTGTAATGCTAATAAGCCGGGGAGATGGTTGGCTTATCAATTAAGAAAGAAACAGAGACAGAGAATAATAGAGAAAATAAATTACAAGGGTAAACTAGTTTCTCAGAAGGAATTAATTAAAAAATCTTTTTTGGATTATTATCAAAACTTATATAAATCTACTAATGTACAATTGTTAGATATAAATAAATATTTAGCTGAGGCAAGTTTTCCTAAATTGACTGAGGATCAGAAATATGAAATTAATGGCTTAATTACTAAGGAGGAAATTGCCTCAGCAATTCAACAATTGAAATTAGGGAAAGCACCGGGTACGGATGGGTTAACAGCTGTTTATTATAAAGCTTTAATGGAGGAGATGATCCAACCATTAAATGATCTTTTTAATGGTATCTTACAGGGTTTAGAGATTCCTCCTTCATGGCGTAGTGCCTTTATATCATTGATTCCAAAGGAGGATCAAGATCTTACTTTACCAAAAAATTATAGGCCTATATCTCTTTTAAACGTGGATTATAAGATATTTGTAAAAATTTTGGTAAATAGGCTTATGAGGGTGGTGCATCATCTTGTGCATAAAGATCAATCAGGGTTTATAACAGGAAGGTATATGAAAAACAATGTTAGACAAATTATTAATTTATTAGAATACTTAGATAAGAACAACCAAGTTCCTGCAGGGCTCATATTTTTAGATGCTGAAAAAGCATTTGACCAATTGAATTGGCATTTTATGCTAAGAGTAATGGAAGAAATGAATTTTGGTGAAAACATATTACAAGCCCTTAAGGTAATATATCAAAAACAAACAGCACAACTTATTGTTAATGGAGGTCTTTCGGAGGTTTTCACAATAGAGAAAGGTACTAGACAGGGGTGTCCTTTATCGCCATTGTTGTTTGTTTTAACATTGGAAATATTATTGATCAAAATTCGAGAGTCTCAGGAAATTAAAGGAATATATGTTAATAAAAAAGAATATAAGTTAAGAGCTTTTGCGGACGACTTGGTTGTTACTTTGTCGCAACCTGATTATTCTGTAGTAAACTTATTACAGTTGATTCATCATTATGGCTTGGTCTCGGGTTTCAAGATTAATGTAAATAAGACCAAAATTTTACCTAAAAATATGTCTAGTCAGGAGAAGCAGATTTTGACTAACCTGACGGGTTTTGAGATTGTTAATAAGGTAAAATATTTGGGGGTGATGTTGTCTGTTTCTAATGTAAAATTATTTAAAAATAATTATGAAAGGTTGTGGGTCAGGGTACAGAAGGACTTGAAGAACTGGGAAAAGTTGCAATTATCCCTCATGGGAAGAATTGCAGTGATAAAAATGAATATTTTACCCAAGTTTCTTTTTCTGTTTCAAATGTTACCAATTTTGAAAAATGAGATTAATTTAAATGAGTGGCAGAAGGGTCTTAATAAATTTATCTGGGCAGGGAAAAAGCCAAGGGTTAAGTTTAAAATTATGCAAGACTTCCGTGAGAGGGGTGGACTTAAGGTACCAAATTTGAAATTATATTATGATGCGGTGGTTTTAACACTAATCAGTGATTGGGTAAATTTGACAAACTCTGAGATACTTTATCTAGAGGGATGGGACTTACTTTATGGGTGGCATGCCTATTTAATATTCAATAAAAAAATGGATTGGGCTTTTAAATCTCATATCTTAAGAATCTCTTTACTTAGGATTTGGAGAAAATATTATAAAAGTGATTTCAAAGTACCATTATGGGCTATACCTTGGCATGCGATAGAAGCAATAAAAAGAGGGGTTAAAATGGATATGGTGTCTTACAGACAGTTACTTAAATGGGATGGACAAAACTGGCAATTAAAATCACGGGAAGAGTTAGCACAAGAAAACTTTATTTATTCTTGGTTCCAATATAGGCAATTACTAGACAGATGGAAGATGGATTGTAAGGTGGGTTTTCTTAGAGAAGATGAAAATCTTATTAAGCAAGTGAAGGATTCAAGACAAACCCACATTAAGAGAATTTATGCGGTTTTAGTTGAATTGGATTCAGAAACGGAACTAATTAAAGATTGTATGATAAGATGGGCGCAGAATTTTGGTGAGCCAGTCTCATTGGACACCTGGGAAAAAATTTGGGTGAGAAATGTCAAATTTACACAAGCACAGAACTTAAGGGAGAATTTTTATAAAATGTTTTATAGATGGCACCTTGATCCACAAAAAATGTCTTATATGTACCCTGACGTGCAACCCAAATGTTGGAGATGTGGTTATAAGGAGGCTTCCTATTATCATATTTGGTGGTCATGCAGAGAGATAAAAGCATTTTGGATCAAAGTATGGTGGAATATCCAGAGAATTTTTAGAAGGAGGGTAAAATTTACTCCGCAATTATTTTTGTTAGGTATTGTTACAGATTGTGATACAAAGGAGGTTGTATTGATGTTAAATTTGATTACAGCCGCTAGGCTGTTAGTAGGACAATATTGGAAGAAGGAATCCTTGCCTACATTGCAGGAATGGTTTCTTAAAGTAGCTTATCTGGCGGAAATGGCAAAGATCTCGGCTTTCTTAAAGCAACAAACGCAAGAGAAGTTTTTTGCTGTTTGGGATAAATGGATAAAATTTATACAATTTAGATTGGGTATACAAAAATATTATATAGTTTTTTCATAAGTTTTATTTTTATATATATTATAGATAATCTTTTTATATATATAAATATAAAGTTCTTAATTTAATTTTTATTTTTACTTTTTAAGCCTATATTCTGCTCTGGGAAGCTCAGGGGGGGGGGGAAGGGGGGGGTTTGGGAGGGGTGGGTTTTGTTTTTTTTCTATATGTATTGTTTAGTTTTATTTTTTTGTATATGTTGTCTCTTGTTTTGTATTCTTTTTTCTTTTTTGTAAAATTTATAAAACTTTTAATAAAAAAAAAAAAAACATTGATATCAGTCAAATTTAAAATATGTCCAAAAACATCAAAGAAGAGAGAATCTATGGCCCTTTTCATTGAAAAACTACAGTTTCAATATCCCAAATTATCAACCATGATGGCTGGGCTGTACAACAACATCTAAATGGCCAATAGTTCCCAGTCCTGTGCCATAAATAATTCTCTATACAAAAGTGTCTTAGCGCAACAATACTGCTTCAGGACATTTATTTCAAGAAAATAATGAGCCAATATACATATTTAATAAGATGAGAGGTAAAGAGATTATTTTTAATTTACTGAATAGAATAGTCTGATAATGCAGCACCTCTGTAGGTAATTACATTTACATCCTACATGATATTTACAAAATAATCCAAAACATACAAAAAGACTGGGCAAATTGCAGTTCATTACAAGAGCTTATTGATCCTGAAGACGGCACTGAAGGCGTATATTTAAGGCATAACGCTGCAAAGATGCTAAGTTTGTTCAGCTGATTGCATTATGCAAATAGGGCCCACATTTTCAGATTTTTTTTATCTGCTCAGTCTTTAAAAGTAAAATTTTCAATGTGAGAACCTGAAAATACCCCAAATGAATTTGATCAATTAGCCTATTACTCCTTTCCTCAAAACGTATGGGGCAATAAGGAAACAGGCAAAATGACATAAATTGACTATTTAGTTATGTTCCTAAAACTTAGTTAAACCTTAAAGGACAGCAAGAATAAATATGCACAATACGTATAAATTCCATAGATTCTGTTTTACCATCAGAGAACAGATGCCCAAGAAATTTTAAGAGACATTTCTAATTTGTACACTTTAGAACAATATAAACAAATATTAGGTATATTTATCTTCAATTATCAATCTTTCAAGAAAAATAATTTTTAAAATATTGGCAGGTGCTTGCAAAAAAGTAAATTCATCTTTTACAGGATTAATATGTATGACATTTGTGCAAATGCCTACACACAGAGTAATCTTTATAGGATATAACAGACTTGTTTCCACGCATCTCTCCCTCTTGACATCCATGCACAGGGGCTTAATGTGGCTATAAGAAATTAGAAACAGATTCCTTGAACAAGTAGATATTGACAAAGACAGAAAAATAACTAATATGGTTATGCCCTTAATGGATTATCATATCCATTGAACATTCTAGGTAGGCAGACTTTGTTATAACCACAGAGACAGCTCCTGTGTGAAATAGTCATAGGTATGAGGACTCAACACTTTAGCATTGTGTGTTACTTTCTGTATTTGTTTATTTATTTTATTTATTAAATTTCTATGCTGCCCATCTCCCCTGCAAGGTGATTCGGATGGCTTGGTTGATATTAAAAAGTAGGTAATATGACAGTATATTTTTAAATGATACAATAAATGCAGTACCAAAAACAATGCTAGAAGCAGAAATTCTAGCATTTAGAGTAGGAGTGCCTAAGCTTTGTACAACAGTGTATCCTAAACATAATTAAGAACTGAATTCCAATGCAATTTAAGTCATACTAAAACTATCTTATTTGCTCACACTAGAAAAGTTAAGATGATCCTTGCTCTGTCCAACTGAGTTTTCTAAAATCATGGGTAACCTAAAGAAAACATTTATTTCACTCTTCTGCCTGATTAAGTAAAACAAATCTTAATCAAAGAAGGGGCCATTACAACATCCCTAACCCAAGCACAGAACGTACAATATAGTAACAGGCTTGGAATGGTTTCCAAGAGAAGACTAAAGGGAATTAAAGGAAAGCTCAGAAAGGAAGCATACTTATTCCTGCAGTAGTTTCCGATTTCCAGGATCAACTGTTCCAGGACTGAGGTTTTATAACTTGAGATGCAACATCAGGTAATTCTTGCCTCACTTCAACAGGCTCTATACTGATTGATAATAATTTTCGCAATTCTTTATTTTCAAGCTGAAAATTAAAAATAATGTGTGATGTTAGTGACAAGAAATAATATATTCATTCAGTGCCATAAAAATGTAATTTTGGGGACATCCATGATTACTTCCCATATATCACTCCTATGATCTTTCCATGCTGCTTTTTAAAAGATTTATCATCAATCAGATAAATGTCCAACACCTATAAGCACTGTGGCAAGCTGGCTTTTGTTAGCTAGCAAGACAACTTTGTGAGAGGAATTTTACTATTGGATGCTGGATCCAAGTCAATGTAATCTTTCTGGAACAAAGGATTGTTGAGCTCATCCTTGTGATTCCATAGCTGCTCTTCATGAGTAAAGCCCTGAAACTCATTTTTTTATGATTGGCTTCTGAGTGAAGTAGCTGAGAGTCAGGATTTACATCAAACTCAAACTCGCAAAGCAATCTTTATGGACATTAAGCTGGAAAGAGCCTTATATCTTAATCACTTTTTTGGGTTTTAAAAAATTTATTGCATATTGTAGAGATTAAGATTCTTCAGACTGGCAAAGTTTTTCATTAGGTGATAACTGTAAGTTTAATTTTAAAAGTTTTATATACGTGCTTGGTACATGGATTTTGAAAAATTAATAATGGATTAAGGGGCCAAAGGAATTTGGAACAATAGCTTTGAATTATTTAGAAGATACATTCTCATAGGAAAATGAAGATTGCTTTCATATTTTTATGACAAGGAAATCTTGAAAGCTAGATCCCAGAGCCAGAGGAGAAAGAAAGTGGAGCAGAAATCCTTATTGCAAAATTTTGAATAACTTTCAGTTAAACTTTTGGACAGAATGGATCAGATGCTTGATAAGATTGACAGAGCATGTCCTAATGAAGTTGTAAAACAAGAACAAGCTGCAGTGGATGTTTATGAAATTAATTTGGAGGGGGATTTGAATGTAATACAAATGAATCTGATGGAGACTTAGAGATGAACAAACATTAGGAAACTGATTTGGATATTTTTTTCTTCTGTATATACAAAAGAGCTCTGCTAAGATTTGAAAGCGCTTTTAAGAAATGACAAATTAAAGAATACATTTTATTTATGGATGTAAGAACCTATTAAAATTCTAAAGAAATTTTGCTTTGAAACACAGATGAATAGCAAATTCTCTCTGGAATTCTTTTTGGAAGGGTCAAATAATATTTTTTTAAAAAAACAGGGAAGCTTTATAAGTTTGTCTTCTTTGTTCAGGGTTAAAAGAAGAAAATACTGGATTTCCCTTACTGGATTTTTGTTGACAAAGATTGACAGAGTATTTACAATTTGTTCTTATATAGGAGATGAACTATGAGGATATGAGAGATTGTTTTATTTAAAGACAGTGATAAGCTATTAACATTGTTTTTAACCTACTGGGATTTTTTTTCTTTCTGGATTATTTAATTATTTAATACAACTTAAAAATCATTATTTAAAATGTTGCATGATTCCAGCTTTGTGAATTATTACTTTGCTTTCAAAGCTATCCAAAGCACTTGAAAGTAGGACGAGAAGTAATGGATGGAATCTAATCCAGGAGAGAATCAATCTAGAACTCAGGAGAAATTTCCTGACATTTAGAACAATTAATCAGTGGAATGACTTGCCTCCAGAAGTTGTGAAAGCTCCAACACTCTTTAAGAAGAGAATGGACAATCTTTTGTCTGAAATGTTATAGTTTCCTTCTTAAGCAGGGGGTTGGACTAGAAGATCTCCAAGGTCCCTTCCAACTCTGTTATTCATTCTCTAAACTATGAAGCTACTTCAGTCTGGTGCACGTAATAACCCTTAATAGAGAACAATCAGTGCTCCTTTGGATGTTGAAAAATCACAAATATATTCCTTTTCAACAATCCCACACTTCACAGTAATTCAGCACTTACCTCTAACTGTGCTAGCTTTTCTTGTATTTTATAATACTGGTCACTGTCAACATTAACTGCTTTTCTCATAACCTTTCCCATTTCACAGATCATGTCAATCTGACTCTCAATCTCCTGCAGATAGATTTTAAAACAAAATTATTTTCAATTAAAACACACATAAAACAAATGTTTGTCATGAACACAAATTAAAAATAATATTGTGAAGAAAGAGAAAAATGCTAGGTTTTAGGAATCGTCTTAATTAAATTCATATTTGTCAATAAGGGGAAATAGATGATATTGTAACTAGGCTTCAATAAATCTTTTACACTAGACCAGCAGTTCTCAAACTGTCGGTCGCGACCCCATTTGGGGTCGAACGACCATTTCACGGGGGTTGCCAAAAAACGCAGCCCGCCATTTTTTCCCCCTTTTCCTTAGCTATGCTACTCCCTTTTATTCTATTGGCTTTTGAAACGGTGCTGCAAGTTGTCTGCAGCGAAGGCGAGCTGTCTGGAAGTTTCCACCCCTCCCTGCTGAGCAACTACTAAAAATGTAAGTAAAAGAGGGCCAGGGGTGGGAGGTGGGAGGCTAGCGGGGGCAGGGAGGGTTGCTGGTGCACGTGGGGCCCGGCAGGTGCCTTACCTCCCTTGGGCTGGGCCAGCTGGTGGCCCAGCCAGTGGTCGCCCTGCGCCGTCGCTGCCCTTGCCAGCTACGCCTAGGCCGGTGCAGGGGGCGGCACCACGCATGCGCAGTGCTCCCGGGCAAGGAAAGTCCTTGACTTACGACCGGTTGGGTAGTCCTCGACTTATGACCGGTTGGGTAGTCCTCGACTTATGACCAGTTGGTGGTCACGGCATTAAAAAGGTTGAGAACCACTGCACTAGACTGAGTTGTTGAAATCTTTCAGTTTATAAAAATACCCTTAAATTTATTACAGAAAGTAAAATGAATGCCGCAGACAAGCAGTATACTCTAAACAATAATCAGTCCGATATAAGGTTGGAAAAAAGTACCGTATTTTCCGGCGTATAAGACGACTTTCTAAACCCTGAAAATCTTCTCAAAAGTTGGGGGTCGTCTTATACGCCCAGTCGTCTTATATGCCAGAATATATGGGTAGCTGTTCTCTGAATTTAAAGCCAATCTGCCCCCTAGTGGCCAGCCCTATTTTTTTTTTTTTTACAGAAATAAGCACTAACAGGACAAAGCATACAAAAATTCCATTTTTCTACATCGCCCATCACTTTATTCTTTTTCAGGAAAAGCAATTAAATAGTAGAAAACAGTAAGCTATATAAATTAAGGACATTACATCTACAAAAAAAAGAAACATTCGATTTACTTCTTATACCTATAGCAGCAGTCATGATTATATGGAAAAACTTTTTGATTCAGCAAATCACATTGATTAAGAAAGATACTGGTCAAAGGAAAAAGATCAAAGTGAAAATTAAGAAAATAGATGATGGGATCTACCAGAGAGAATATTTTAAAAAGAAACATTTGTTTGAATATGGTTAAAGAAACAGAAAAGATTCTGAATACATATGTCATTCTAAGAGAGATGAATTCCTTAAATAATACTGTATGCTTCCCCCCCTTTTATTTTATTTTTTGATATAAGTAATATAATACTGCTGGAATGGCCTAGATGAAGGAAATGTTTTAGATAATTTAAATGTGTCTGAATTTAGGGAAATTATAATGTATAAAAAAGAAAAAAATGTTTTGAATAAGACCTAAAGGATTAGATGACTAGGCACATTAAATGGAATATTTAAAGATTAAATATATTTTATCAAAATAATAAGAACTATATTATTTCAAGGTTTGCAAAGAAGACATTTTGGGGGAAAGGGAAAATCAACTAAATGTACTATGTGGATTATAGATTATAGAAACCAATTGTTAATGATTTTTCTTTACAAATGTAAACCCAGCAAACACACTGTTTACCGACTATTAAGTGATTTATGTTTTAAAAAATCAATAAAATATATGGGGTAAAAAATACCAGCTGAGTTCAGGAAGCATTAGGGAAGCAGTGGTGGGCAACACTTTCTAGCAGCAAAGGAATGGAACTCCTATTGTGCTCATCTTTAAACAGAAATTCAATATTGTACAGTATTTTCCGGCGTATAAGACGACTTTCTAAACCCTGAAAATCTTCTCAAAAGTCAGAGGTCGTCTTATGCGCCCAGTCATCTTATACGCCGGAATATACGGTATCTGTAATCAGAAATGTCCACCCAAGTCAAGAAAACTTTTAATGAATGTCTCTGGTGAACTCTAAAGGGCTAATTTTAAGTGGTGCATTTCTATTACATTTTATTTACAGTATACTTCACATTTTTAATATGCAGTACCATGACAGATTTGTGTCTTGGAACTACAGCAATTAAATAGGAACCAACTATTGCTATCATACTCTTTCTAAATGACCCCATCATTCTGCAATTCTGTTAAGATATATTTTAATTTTCTGGAAAACAGCTTTAAGACAGGCCTTATTATTATTTTGTAAGAAACGTATCATTTTGCCCTGAAATATTTCTAATAGGTGCTTTGCTTATAGAAGGTGGCCATGACCCGGTCTCACCATGCAGTACCAACATAGTCCATTTCCACTTAAGAGCTCAAAGAGACCTTTTTCTTCTTCACTGCAGTATCCACACATATTGCACAACCCCCAATTTTTTTTTTTTGCAATGCATGCATGCATGCATATTTGTATCCTCTTAGTAAGTATATTTGGTTCAGGATATAGGACTGCAACTAATATGGTGCTCCAATTATTAATACTGCACTGACTGTGTAACCATACATAAAGAACATTCATATTCTACAAGCTAGTTTTGTTACCTCTCTTTAGCTCCATGACTATTATTGTATACACCAGTTTAGGAGCAAACTGGAAAACAGGAAGACTCTGGATCCAGCAGACAGGCACCCTCTCTTATACATCTATTTTGCTTTCATGTTTTCCATTCCAAGAAAATTCAAATTTCCTGTGGTAAATGGAATGCCCTCTGAGGAGTCATAGCCACTTACTTTGAGGCAGGAATGTAATGAAATTTTGTAGTTTTTGTGGCATAAAAATAATTAACCATCCATGGTATTTACAGTTATTTGTTTTATAATAACTCTTAAGTTACTTCATGGCTCAGCTGCAATGCTTTCTCCTAGAAAGAAAAGCCACTTCTGAGATATTTCAGAGAACAGACTATTGAGGAAAAAGTGAGAGTCAAAAGCAGACACCATAGGAACAGAGCACAGATCCAAGCAACTCTCCTAAATTTATTTCTACTTTTTTTTAGAGAGAACATTGTAATTTCTTACCACAGACTGAGTCTGGTGTACTTGCAAAACTGATTGGGCATCCACATCTTTTCTTTTCATCATGAGCTGCAGCATATGTTTTCTGTATTTGCTCATAATAAGTTCCAGTGCATCTTGATGTTCTTCCAAAGAGATCCATAGCTCTGAAAAAAGAAGTGTAATTCCATTGTATAACTATATTGGTAGTATACACATTGGTCCCTACTATTTGTTTGGTTACACTTCCATTTCAAATTCTTTCCCTGATGGGAGAGCAGGGAAAGCAACTAGTCTTCTTTGATCAATGCACACTCTGGATTAGTATTTTATAATCAGGCAAATTTAGTTTGTAGTCTAATCCTATGCATTTATTTGGGGACAAATTTCTGTTTTTCACTGAAACTTATTATGTAAACGTGTGGCAGACTGTCATTTATATAACACAAGTTAATCAGTACGGTTACAATCGATTTTTCAAATAAGTTTCAGATTGAATATAATTTGAATAAAATTTGGGAAGTTGTTTGTTTTGGCATCCTTATACAACCAGCATATTATACCACGAAGAACACCAATAATAAAATGATTTTAAGCTGATATTTTTACATGGTTTGTTGTATGAATGAGAAATAACAAACTGAAATATGGCTCAAATTATATCCATTTTACCAAAGTTATTTGTCCCAGATCTCACATAACACTTCCAGTCTTAGAACATTCCTAAGATATTCTTAATTAAATCATTACTTCTATAAAAATAATTCTAGCTCACAGTTACTTAATTAGGACAATGCTCACCTCTATTTTCCTGTTGCAGATCTCTGATCTGAGTGTTTTCCTGAGATAAGAGAATGTGAGGTTTATATTTAGAGAGATCCTTTAGCTCAGCTGCATCTTCTTGATACTTGTAAAAGAAAAATGTTTTCTATGAGCCAGAGAACTTGTATACACAACAGCATCGATTAACCTGCATTGCCAATCAATTTGTGCCATTAACAAATCTGCACTCACCTTGTGTGAAAGAGTTGAACCAGCTTCTTTCATGGCTACTACTTTCTTATGCAACATAGTGGACTGATCAATGAGAGACTCAGCAGCATTATCATGATCTTTCAGTCTGTCCAGCAATGTCTTTGCATCTGTCAAGATCTTTTCTATTGTGCAGGCCATTTTCTGAGAAGACAGGAGAGAGAGAGAGAGACCCCAGATTCCAAGCTGACAGGATGCGATTTGGTGAGGGGAGGATTAAGAAATGAACAAAACCTTACAAGCATTTGCTAAGAGATCTAAGCTTACATCAGGTTGTAGAACAACCCTGAATAAGAAAGTGGGAAGATCGCGCCATTGTTGCCCCAATTCAAGGCTTTAGGCTCAGGTATTAGTAACAACTCAGGACAAAAACACTTTCTATCTTTGGCCTGTACGACTCTAAGAGCGGAGGGGGGGAGACGAAGGAAAGGGATAATGAGAAGGCTATTCCCGACCGCTCACCTAGAAATCCCGAGGCACCGCGTTACACCCCCTTCCCCGCGATGTCCTCTCTCTTCCGGGCACACACCTGTATGGCGGCCCAGAGCACCCGCTTGGCCACCCAATGCTGGATCTTAGCTGAAGGAAGGAGGAATGAGTAAGAAAACCGCTAGAGGGCGCAGAGGTCACGGGCTAGTCTCTGAACCATCGTCGTTTCCGGTGTAACGTTCGGTTTCTGAAACGAAGGACGTCACGGTTCTCCAAAGGCACTTCCGATCTCCAGTGATCCGGGTGAAGGGAAGGCGAAAAGGAGATACGAACGTGGAATTAATGTATACGCGCAGGCTGGGAATTCATCTGGCGTAGCCTGCGTTTATTAGTAGCGATGGGGGAGGTTAGTGTCTGTTCAGCAATACAATATCTCCAAAGTCATCGAAGGGCCCCCAAAGTAGCAGCCCCGGACAGATGTCTAAAGCGGACTAGCAATTGAGCCCGAGTAGAAACAGATATAATGGTTCTGATGTGCACTTGGCACATCAAGAGCAGAGTTAAAGTAACTCTTTAACTTTGGTTAAAGCTGCTGTCTTGTTCATTGACTAAACCGAAATGTTCTCGCAGTGAACTCTTGGTACATATGAACACAGAGGAAGTGGATTTCAGTGAGTTTTACTTCCAGGTAAATAGATAACAGAAATATAATTGTGCGTGAGAAGCTTTAAATTTATATGACAAATTTGTCTGCAATATTCTTTGGGATTTAAGCTGCTGTATTTTACTGTCTTTATCCCAAGTATGTAATAAGACAAAATATTAAACTGAATCTCATTTCAGATAACATTATTTATTAATCAAATCTATGAATCACCAGAATCCCAAAGGATTATCAGTTGCTTACAAGATAAAATACACAATAAACAAAATACAATAAAAGTGCATAAATAAAACTGAAAAACATTAAAAAGAATAACATTAAGTAAAACCAATGATAATCCAATCAAAACTGAATCGCAGCCCAAATGTTATTCAGAAGAGCTTGGTTCAAGTTGTTTTCAGAATGCAGTCAATTCCACCCAACTGATACGCTAGTCTAAAATTTAGTTCCACCACCCCAAAAGGAAGCCATATGAGCCTTAGCCTACTTCACTGCCCTTATGTGGGAGACAACTAGTAGCTTTTCCTAGGTAAGCTGAATTAGTTGGGCCAATTCCAATAGGAGAATCTGGTCCTACAGATATGGTGCTAAGGTATGTAGGGTTTTATAAATTAGCACTAGCACTTTAAATAGCATCCAGAAGCTAGTAGCAACCACTGTGGAGCTTACATATAAGCCATAAGCAAATAAAGGTATTTGTCTGGCTGATACTATAAACCAATTGCAGCCTCAAAGTGATTGAAGGCAGCTTCAGGTAGAATGTGTTACAGTAATCTAAATGGATGGTAATGAAAGCATGTGTAGTTGTAGCTATAAATATTGCCACTGAGTTACATCTGATATAGTTGTATCTCGGCATGGTGTATGTTAAAAATTCATCATCATCATCTTCAGTTGGTCCAAAGTCAATATTGCTGCTTTCATTCAATTTTTCCTTCACATTATTTTTGCCCAATTTTTGATCTTGGATTTCCCCATAAAGTCTATTTAGCATGGGAAGAAGAATCAAATCTGTTTTTATTAGACATTACACTCAATAGCTTTATAATTGATATATTGTTTGGAGAGATACTAGAGTTATATTTAGATCCTAATATCCATTAAATCAAAGGTGATATACATACATACATACATACATACATACATATCCCAAAATTGCCCAAATCAGAAAATTAACACCAATTGTTAGCTTCCAGTATTTAATACTTGATAATATGTAAGCTTGATAATATAGCTCCAGAGTCGAAAAACCAAATTGTCCCTCATTAATTGGTAATTTCATTTTCTGTAAATATATTCTTGAAATCAAAGCTGAAAATATTTTCTGGATATTTGAACATGAATTCCTCTCAGGATATAAATTAATGTGAGAATAATATTTATTTTGAGATCATTCATTTTCCCCAAAGGGTGAGTTTTAGTGAATTTCATTTATTCATATATATAAAAAAGAATCAATATTTTAAGCTACAAAATATCTGATAAATCCTATCTCAGAATTAAATGTTGTTTCAAGATAATGGCCCAGAATATACACTTCCAATAAAAGTGATCCAGAAATCCAAATCAATTTCATACTCTATTAAAACCAGATGATATTGGTGGTAATGAAATCAAAAAATACCGAGAAAATGAATTTTGATGTCCTTTCTAAGCAATAAATCTTAGTGACCAAATGTAACCTACAGTACCATCATATATTTAAAATAGAAACAAAAATATAAAATTTCTGTCAACTAAGTATCAGAGTAATAGTGTAGATAGATTGAATAATAAAAGTTATAACCCCTTAAAACCAAGTAAAGAAGGAAGGAGAATTCCACAGTTTGGGTGCTATTCCAAAAAGCATTTGTTCCATGCTTTTACCAACCTTTTGTGTCTTGGTGGCTGGCCAGGTAGAAGTCCTGTTCGTCAAATTGAATCAAAAGACAGACTGACAGCATGCATGGACACAACAAACACGTTCACTCCAAAACAAAATGTTTTTAGAGTGATTTGGTCTGGAATGTTCAGCCCCCCCCCCCTTCATCTGAATAACAGGTTCATTGTGGAGTTGAAGACCATAAGAAGGTTGTTGATTATTAAAATAAATGTATACTCCTGAGCTACTAGCTTTATGTTTGTGTGCTTATACTTTCTCATGCTGTATTGATTTGTTTTCCTCCTGTAACATTAAAAGCTGCGAAGTGCATAAATTATGTAAACTTTGTATATTCATTTGTTGAGTAAAATCAACTAAAAGTTTCTGAATAAATGTATACAAGACTGCAAACATACTATAGAAGAACTCTAGTGTAATATCTTGGTGTCTTGCTTGAGTTATATATGCTATAAATGCTAAGCATATATATTCCTGTTGGGAAATATCATCAAAGAGTCACTTCAAGGGAAAATGTCTGCCTTAAGGCTAGTCTCTATGTTTGTATAATAGCAATTGATTTAACAAGGTGCTAAACAATTTGTCCAGGTTAAAGTAAACCATTTTGCTTGCCTATTTTCCATCTTTTCTCTTTTAAAACAGGTGTGGCCTAAAGACTGGGAACATACATTAAATTATTACATGCTTAACCATGGTTTATAAAATAAAAACAATTAGTTTGTGCAGAATACTAAACCATAAACAACAGTTTTCAAGCTTGATTCAAGTTTGATTCACCCAGTACACATTAGGTCAAAAACTATACAAGTCTTATTATGATACAGCATCATGTATGAACCTGACTAAAATCTACCCAGATATTAAATTATCCTAAAGTACAAGGGTTAGAGACCACAATTGTCCAGCTATTGCTATGCATATTTATTTGAGAATTTTATTAAGCACTGAGGCTTACACTTTAATAAATTGACATATACTAAATCTATTAAGTCAGCCAGTAACAAGGCCAATCTCATTGCATTATGATATGGTTTGTTTTATCATGGTTTGTTGAATAAGATAACAGTTTTTGGCTTATACAATACACTAAGCCATCACCATGATTTATAATCTACAATAGCTGGGTTTCACATAATTCTAAGTTAAAACCAAGCAAATCACTGAGATTTTAGCAGCTGGAGTGTAAGCAATTAAATGAATCTGCCCAATACACATTCCTAAGATTGTATTATGTACCTCATTTCTAATAGGGTCTTCTTTCCCCACAATTTATATTATAGTGGCCTGTTCATGGAAGGAATGAGTTTGATGATGTAAGGAATGCTGTTTTTAAACGATTATGATGCCAAGAAACAAAAATTTGGCAAATTAAACATTTCTGTAAACAAAGATTTATAAACAGATCCCACTGCACTATGTTCTCATTTGCTGTTGCATCTGAGGAGTTGATATGGCAAGTATTTTGCAAAAAAAGATGGCCTGAAATCTCTTCATTGCTTTGACGGTAAAAGATTGTGCACAATTGTTCAGGTTTTTTTTAATAACTTGTGGGGGACAAACATTTTCTAAACAATCAAATATTTCTCAGACAACAATCTGAGGGAGCATTTCTTTTCTATTAAATATAAAAGCATTGCTTTGTTAGCTTGAAAATATGAATAAAAATATTTCTCATTTTGATTACAGCTCATAATTTCGTTGCTGAGTCCTCTGTGACTTTGTGTAGGAACTCTTTTGACCTGGTTCTGTATTAAATGCAAATGCACATCATGGATTGAAGAACAATCACAGAAGAATGTGACAGAAACTGAGTCATCTTTACTCAAAAGGCAAAATACATAAACTATGCTTGGTCTATGTTCTTATTTTATATAACTTAAACATGGTTTACTCAACCCAGTTTTCTGGGTCCCTGTGAACACTAATGGCTAGGTTCACACTATGCTAAAATAAAAGGTGATTAGTTTTTGGCTCAGTGTGTCAAGTTAGCACTGCTAAAGAACTAGCCCATTAGAATTTTTAATTTTATTTAACAATGTAATATGTCTTCTTTCCAGAAAAGCATTATCTGAAACAGTTCAAGTTTCTATATATGCTCTTCTTCATTTTTGTAACATCTCAGCAATTCTAATATTAGTTGTTTTGCTTAAACTTAGTTTGCTGACTAAACAGCAATTATTTGGGATTACACAGAGTATTTAGCCCAAACCACACTGTAGATTAATATATTGTATGACTTTTGTCACTGAGAGACACTTCACAGTGAGTTTCATAACTGAATAGGGATTTTGGTACAAACTGAAGACTCAACTAACTCAACCAGTATTATGAATCTTTGGTTCTGCAATTCTTGAAGAAAAGCAGTTCCCACCTGCAGTAGTCAGTGTGGCCAATGGGAGCAATAAGAATATCTCTAAATACCCAATTACCCACCTGATCTAATCATTACTGCATGTGTGCTCTTTGAAAAACTGACCTACATTTGTTCATGCTCTAACTTGTGCCATTTCAAATGTTTTCAGAAACCTAATCATAAAAACTACTAAACCCCTTATAGAGAAGCAGTGGGAGATAGAAATGGATTTCATTCAAATGAACTTTTTGTTGTGAAAGGCTTTGCTTTAGTCTTTCACAAAAT